CAGTAGTAAGAATTAATGCGTGCGACATACCGCCATTACGTGAGAAATAAAGGGAGTCCGGGCATTTACCTTTTATAGCGCATGTTTATACACAGACCAACAACGGCAATATAATGTGACAGCGAGGAGCGGTGATGCAAGCACAGTCCCCTGTCCCAACGGAGCGAAGCGCATTTCAGAGCTGGACAATGCAGATGACGTTGTCGCACTGGACGACAGCAATGATGGCTTTCTCTCGCTTACTGAATGTGGGCCCCTTCAGTCAAATCTTTTAAGAACAAAGGTGACGAAGAATTCTGATGGGACAGTGGAACCGAAGGCGTGCCACGGAATACGTTTGAAAGTTTAAATATCTAGATGCCGTCGGTTTAAATATCTCCAACGGCCACAACTTAAATCAAGACTTAGAAAATGAGGTATTCCTTGCCTTGATTTACCATTGCAACAAATATCGTTTCGGAAATTTGGGCTAGAATTGAAATAACAGTTGTTTCAAGATTCAGCTTAACTGTGCTATTGCCTACTACACTTTGTTAGACGGATCAGAATCAATGGCGCCTAAAGTAGGACATAAACGTTAATTGAAGATTCACAGCGGCGTTAATTACAAAATCGATCGAAGGCCAAGTGGCATGACCGCACCAGGAACGGCTACGTCTTAGCGTCAGCTGTTCTTATGGATATCTCAGAACCGCTCAGAGAGAAGGTTGGTATTGTTCAATCATCTATGAGGAAGCGATGAAACCTTACTGGCTCGTCAGGTGCTGACGTGGGGACCGACAAATGGTTAACACTGTATTACATGGCAGAGGAAGCTGAACGGAGTCTGTTGTTGCTCAGGAACCATTGCTTCATCGATGCAGTGAAGAGCATAATATTAAAATGCTAAATGTTGAGACATCAAGAAATGAACACAGCAAATCTTAAGCAATTTTGACCTAGAGACAATGATCACAAAATAAAAACAACATAATGCGATATACTAAACTGACCTAACATCAACCTTTGCTTATATATTTGCAACGGAGACCGGCCCTTTTACACAGGGTTATTCCTTTTGTTCCTCTCCAAGGATTGACATGCGGTGATCATCCCACTGTAAACCATTTTTATCTTGGATTCGGCTGACAGACGTAGCCGATTCTTGTGAGGGCGACGGACACATCCGGCAGTACTTGTATTTAGTCCTTACAGCGAAGTCTATTAATCACTCCACGAGGACCCGTCCAAGGCACTAATATCGAGATTTTCGACCTGTTACAATTATGTTTAGCTTGTTACAGCAATATTAATGTTATTGGACTTAAAGGTACGTGATGGCTATGGTAATCAGATGTCGGACATTCTTCGAATCGCTTGGTGCATTGGCGATGTAGGAAGATTACGAAGAAACTTCAGGATACACACGGGATGGCAACAGGAAAGAGAAAGCAATTTTTATTTATCTGTGCCATGGAGCCATCACGATACTACATTTATGATGAAGCAGGAAAATGATATTTATTTTGAACCTCTTTTAAAAGAATGGCGACAGTAGGTAGTAAACAGTTACAAACTTTAAATTACCTAAGCTAGCCATCAATCCTTCTGCGCTATTCTGTTAGAATATGGTGAAAGGTACAGCACAAAATAAAAATATATGAACTGTATTCGTCTTTGTTGAACTCAAATGTTTGTTAGATAGAGAACAGGGCGTAACAGTGGAGAAGCATATCAGCAGCAAAACCAAAGTTCAAAATAAGTAGTGCATCATACTCCATGAGCATAAACACAAACGGGTGTACTCCGCATTGCCAAAATATTTACAGTTTGCCCGATGTTTCGAATCGCTCTCGATTATCAACGTACAGACACAGGTTACTTTACAGTACCTAAACCATTACAGAAGTTAAATGATTGGTCAATTGTTCAATTTTGCAGATCATGGGAAAATCAGTCGAAGCTCTTGTACTGAACAATATCAAGCCGGATGTTTGTTTGTCAACAATTCTCATTATGGCGATTACGATAGTCGTCAAAATCGTACTTTGCGCAGTGTGCTACGCCAACAAAACAGACCAAGCAAGGGTATTGGCGCAGGACCATCGCAACGATTGCCTCTCCAACTCGGTCGCTATAATTTGCGCATACCTGAGCGACAGGTTCTGGAAGCAGCTAGATCCAATTGGAGCCATACTGGTTAGCATATACCTGGTGTACTCATGGATGAAAACCGGCTATAATCAGGTATGTTTTTTTTGCCTTTAGGCTTATCGTCACAGTCTTCATCTCCTTCTTGACCTCGCAGTATAGCTTCGTAGTAA